TTGTAGCCATGAGGTGTATAGGCAGCTCTTGTATAGGACAAGGACGACGTGCTGCTGCTGCTGCTGCTGCTGCTGCTGCTGGTGCTGCTGGTACTATTGCTGTTGGTGGTGGGGCTGCTGCTGTAGCAGCAGCAGCAGCTGCTGCTGCTGCTGTTGCGCCGCCTTGGGGGACGCATTCTCTAGCTGCTGCTGCTGCTCGTGGGGATGCAGATGCTGCTGCTGCTCTTGATGGTGCTGCTGCTGCTGCTGCTGCTGCTGCTGTTGCTGCTGCTGCTGCACTTCGCTCCTCCCTGTCTTGTTGCGGCCGTCGCCGCCGCATCACTGTAGTGTGCACCTACAGTAGAAGCAGCAGCAGCAGCAGCAATAGCAGCAGCAGCAGCAGCAGCTGGATGGGGCTGTTCCCTGCTGCTGCTGTTAAGGCTGCTGCTGCTAATGAGGACCCAAGAAAGGTTAATGCTCTAGGCCTCCTGCTGCAGCTAGCATGCGCGTCGCTGCTGCTGCTGCTGCTGCTGCTGCTGTTAAGTGTATAGGCAGGGGCTGTGCCCGTGGAGCACGGGGTGTATAGACGGACAAAAAGAGACGAATTGCTGATTGACAAGAGAGGAGGAATTGGGGTGTACGTACACCTCAATTAAGGAGAGAGAATGGGATATTTAAATGTATTATATGCAGCTGCTGCAGCTGCAGCAGCAGCTGCAGCTGCTGCTGCTGCTGCTGCTGCTGCAGCTAAGAAGAAGCTGCAGTAGCAGCAGCAGCAACGGCAGGAACAGAGCAACCAGTTGGTTGCTGCAAAGCAAAAAACCTGCGGCGATAACACAACTGCAGCAGCAGCTGCTGCTGCTGCTCTCCTCTTGCTGCTGCTGCTGCTGCTGCTGCTGCTGTGCTGCTGCTGCTGCTAAAGGATGTCAATAAGAAAGTATTTATAGACAAGAAAAAACATGAATAAGCCACGAATATAACGATGCTGTTGGCCTGTGCTTGCTGCTGCCTCTGCTGCTGCTGCAGCTGCTGCTGCTGCTGCTGCTGTTACAACTGCTGCTGCTGCTGCTCGCGCAGGTCACATCCTTGCCGTTGCTGCTGACTGCAGCAGCAGCAGCAGCAGCAGCAGCAGCGCTGCTGTGTTAATCTTTTTAGCAGCAAATGATGAAATTTTATTTTTTATTATTTAATTTAATTATCCCGTAGATATTTCAAGTATACATAATCAGCAGCAGCAGCAGCAGCAGCAGCAGCAGCAGCAGCACGAGCAGCAACAGCAGCAGCAGCAGCAGCGGGAAGGCAGCAGCAGTAATAACACCACCCAGAGCAATCCTTAGATAAACAATTTCTTCTTTTTTTTTATTTATATAAATAAATAAATTAATTAATTAATTAATTAATTAAATTAATTAAATTAATTAAATTAATTAATTAAATAAATAAATAAATAAATTAATTAATTAATTAAATAAAAAGAATAAAAAGTATTTATAACTGCAGCAGCAAACACCATTAGAGGTGTAGTATATCTTAATAACAAGTATAGCAGCAGCAGCAGCAGCAACAGCAGCAGCAGCAGCAGCAGCAGCAGCAGCAAAATATCATTATTTATTTATAAATTATAATTAATTTTATATAATTATAAATAATAAATAATTAATTTCTTTATTTATGCATATATCCCTTTCCTTATAAGAAGGTCCCCTCCATACACAGGAGAGCAGCAGCAGCAGCAGCAACAGCAGCAACAGCAGCAGCAGCAGCAGCAGCAGCAATTTCCTTAAAAAGAATAAATAAAAAAACTTTGTATTTAATAATAAATAAAAGGAAAAGAAAAAAAAGAAGAAAAAAAAGAAGATAATAAAAAACGCATGCATAAATAAATAAATAAATAAATATTATTTACTTGCATGCAGTAAATATAATCTTATATATTTAGGTCTCCTTTATACACAGCGGCAACAGCAGCAGCAGCAGCAGCAGCAGCAGCAGCAGCAGCAGCAGCAGCAGCAGCAGCAGCAAGAGAAATGCATGCATGCATGCATGTATGGTCCCTAGTAAGGGGGTGTTAAGGAGTCATTTCCCTCCTGCTGCTGTTGCTGCTGTTGCTGCTGTTGCTGCTGCTGCTGCTGCTCCCGCTGCTGCTGCTCCCGCTGCTGCTGCTGCTTCTGTCATCTAATAAACAGGTTAATTTCTGATCACCCTGATTGCTGCAGCAGGTGCTGCAGCAACAGCAACAGCAACAGCAGCAGCAGCAGCAGCAGCAGCAGAACATTAATGAATATTTTTTATTTTCTTCTTTTTCTTCCTTTATTCAATTAGCTAAAAGAATAATAAGAAACTAAATAAATAAATAAATAAATAAATAAATAAATAAATAAATAAATAATAGGAAGAAGGAAGAAGAAATAAATTATTTATTTATTAATTAAATAAAAAAATTATTTATATAAAAAAGAAAAAGTAAATAAATAAAAATATTATTTATTTGTATAGCAGCGGCAAAATACCCCTGCTCCTGCTGCTGCTGCTGCTGCAGCAACAGCAGCAGCAAAATGCCACAGCAGCAGCAGCAACAGCAGCAGCAGCAGCAGCAGCAGCACAAGCACACAGAGGCGAATTGCCATATAAGGTATATACAACACACCTTACTATACAAACCCTAAACCCTAAACCCTAAACCCTAGCCAGCCCCACATATTCTGTCTGCATGCATGCAGGTGGTCCATTGGGGTGACCAGTGGTCCATTGGTCATCTTCTTAAGAAAAAAAAAAAAATCATAAACCCTAAACCCTAAACCCTAAACCCTAGCATAAACCCTAAACCCTAAACCCTAGCATAAACCCTAAACCCTAAAATAAACCCTAAACCCTAGAGAGTACGTCTTATTAACCATTAAACCCTCGGCCTATAAGAACCATAAACCCTAAACCCTAAACCCTAAGGGTTTATAAACCCTAAACCCTTATAAAGTATATCTTATACTCGTACGTATCTCCTGTTCCTGCAGCACGTAATTATCTGCTGCAGCAGCTGCTGCTGCTGCAGCACGTATCTATCTGCTGCTGCTGCTGCTGCTGCTGCATGAATATATCTGCTGCTGCTGCAGTATAATATTATATATACTATATATATATAT